CTGAAGCATGTCGAGAAGGCACGGAGATCATGGACGCTTCTAGTCCGGAAGGATCCCGGACTTCTTCTGAAACGCTTCAGTAGACCTCAGCCTGCACGATCCCAACCTCCAACCCTCCACCTTGGGCAGCTATAAACACTAGAACGCCCAAGTTCTAAGTCCCATGGACCCGAAACCTTCGACCCAGAAAAGCAAGCATTCTGAACCGCCCTTCTTCCGCACGAGTTGGACAGGCCAGTCTTGTCGTTTCCAAGTTCCCAACTGTCGCCGAGCCCGTGGCTGCTGCGGTCTTGGAATTCTGGAGTCTCTGTAGTAGGGGTTTAGTTTAGGGTCTAGGGATGATTAAGGTTTAGAAGTTGGCGATGGGCCAGTGGACGGACGAGGTCAAGCGGATTACCCGCGCCTACACTCCTGTTGCCTTGCATGGAGATTTCAGAGCATCGAAAAAGTGGAATCCCTTGTTGTGTGCGTCCACTGAAAATGCACTCAAGGAACACGTACCAACCCAGCTGAAGTCTTGGCAAAAACGAGTTGGGACATCCACGTGCGTCCTGTTGGTTGTGGTAATGGCAAATGAAACTCCCGACTGCTTGAAGCTGTGAACCAGGAAGTAGCAAGAAAGGCCCGAAGCACCAAGTGCCTGCCTCAGCAGGCTCGAGTGCTGGCGTGCTGCATTCTGTCTTCTGATCAGCTTGCGCCTTGCTGCATTCCGTCTTCTGATCAGCTTGCGCCTTCGGGTTTCAGAGGCTGAATCTTGGATGCAGAAGTCTGCTCAGTGGGTTCTGAGTTACGGAGCTGGGGAGGTCACATCTGTGAGATTATATACTATATACTCTCTTATACGTCTTACGCGCACGTCGCGTGCACGCCGGGCATTACAGCGTGCAAGTTCGAAGCGTAGACAACCCCAGATTTTAGAACATAGAGATTTGGCACTCACAGGCCCGGAAGATTCAGCAAAGCAGGAAGTGCTACACTTGGAACCGTTGCCATACTACACGAGCCTCCTCGAGCTTCCTTTTCTTCGCCTCTCTTGGCAGTCCACACAGAATAAAAGATCGGGGCAAGAGGTCTGAGTAGTCTTGGCCGTTCACACACACCAAAAGATCGGGGAATAGGTCTGACCGGGCAAGACAGTGTTTATGCTTCGACCGTTGACTGGAGCAACAGTGCCGCAGGTAATGCTGCAGGAATGTCAGTGAGCAACACTTCGCGCGCAAACTTGGTAGCCAGAACAAACATGAGCAGAACAAGAGGCCTGGCGACTCAGCAAGCCCGCGTGCGAGTCGCAGACATACGCAGCTTTGCGGCACCTGCGGGGCAGCAGGAGTGGTAGTAATTGTACTCGTACGATCGTCACACATTCTTGGAACTAGCACACCTGCGGCTCAGCCAGCCAAGCTCCACCGCAGCGTCGCGGAGATCGACGCTGGTAAGCTGGCGGGAGACCAGCTTGCGGCAGCGGATGCATGGCCCGGAGGAAGGCTCTTTCTTGGGCATGCTTATGCCCCCTATGTAGCGTTTCAGTCAAGTTACAAGCTTATCAGCAGCGCGCGGTTTCCGAATGCCATGAAAAAGTCATTCTCTGCTTTCTTGCAGGTCTACGGCACTGCGGAATGGGCAGCGCTAACTCCGAAAAGTGGTACTACATGCTTCCGTTGCTCTTCTCCAGACAGCTTTCAGCTCGACTCTAAGAGCCGACAATGGCAGTTCATGTCTCGACTGACTTGTGGAGTAATCCCTGGTGAGAACCACAAAAGTGCATTTATTTGCATCGAATTCGCCTGCAAATTTCAGTGAGCTGCTGCTGCGTGAACAACTGTGAAGGGCACACGTAAGAAGTGAACTCAGCTTTATCCATTGTCGTTATCGCATTTGACTACAGAAGCACGCTTGTCTCTAGCCGTAGACAAGGCCGGAGCACCTGCGAATCCATACTGCCGGCCATCTAGACCATCAAGAAGAGGCCGGATTTTATCCAGAGAATGCAACGGAGACAGAGTGCTCGCTGACAAGAAGCTGAAGCACGTTATGTAATTCTTGGGCTTGCATCGCTTCTATATGCTTCTATCATAGTTATCAGATGTTTTCAGCTTGTGTATCCCGGCACGAGAAATTGGAGCTACTCCTACTACTACTGCTGCTACTACTACTACTACTACTACTACTACTACTGCTACTACTACTACTTTACTACTACTACTACTACTACTACTACTACTACTACTACATAGTACTAGTACTAGTACTAGTACTCGTACTAGTACTAGTACTACTACTACTACTACTACTACTACTACTACTACTACTACTACTACTACTAGTAGGGTTGCGCGCTTCCTGGCGCCTGTTAGTGTTATCTGGTTCCAGAGTACAAAATGCAGGTTTTAACACAATTTTTAGAAGATGCTGTTAAGCGAACTTCTGTCCAACTAATTGGGAGTACTACTACATACACGGAACCTGATGAGGATGACGATGATGCTAGTCAGAATAATAGAAAGATAGTCCTGGGAGTAATACTAGGAATAATCATGATAATAATAAGCAAAATGGTTTTAAGAGTAATAGTACACAAATATTACCAAGAAGCCAAGAAAGAGCCAAGAAACCGAGAAGCGAAGAAGGGCAGAAGCCGCGAATCCGCGAAGCCAAGAAGCCAGGAAGCTGACAAGCCATAGTCATAGTACACATGTGACCAAGAAGCCCACAAGCCGAGAAGCCGAGAAGCCCAGAAGCCAAGAAGCCGAGAAGCCGCGAAGCCGAGAAGCCGCGAAGCCAAGAAGCCGAGAAGCGGGAAGCCAAGAAGCCGCGAAGCCGACAAGCTGGGAAGCCGAGAAGCCAACAAGCTGGGAAGCCGAAAAGCTAGGAAGCCGTGAAGCCGGAAGCCACTAAGCCAGGAAAGCAACCAATTGCCTTGTAAGTCGTAAATATGTTTTTGATCCTTTTTAAATTGTTTTTTGATCCTTTTTAAATTTTTTTGATCCCTTTTAAATTTTTTGGAGCCCCTCTCCCCAATGGAATTGGGGAACTGGATCCGCAAGGCGTGGGAGATCTTCTGCAGGTCGTACTCATTTCCCACGGAAGAAAGAACGTTCAGCTGCTCCCTGTTGTCCAAGCCACCGAACGCAAGCAGCATCATAGCACGTAGATTTCCAGGCACCTGCGCTCCCGTAAGCGCATCTTCCAATCTCTTGAAGTCCTGCTCCCGGTGCACTATGTACTGTTGCATGCTCTCGGTCGAAAGTCGCCATACCGCAGGGCTGTAGAAGGCGGTGAAGAACAACTCGTTGACCTTGACGGGCTTCTCGGGTCCTATGTTGTCCTTCAAGGTGGTCAGGAGAAGCTTCATCCCCTTGTCCAGCGGCTTGCCTTGAGCATCCTTCGTCATCAGCGCGCTGTGGGTAAGCTTCCTCACCGCCTCGTAAGCCGCACCGCTCAGCCCGGCACGGTGGACTGGAGAGGCAGCTTGCTGGCCTTCATTTACTTCTCTTCCGTAGTACAGGTCCCAGGCGCGCTCTGCGTACTTTTCATAGAGCTCAGGCTCACCAGTGTACTGTGGCACGCCATACCTGTCCACATCAAGCTTCGCCGCAGGGAACATCACCTCGGGGAAGCACTTAAAAACCGCCGGTGCAAAGGCGGGCGTAGAGCCTGGTGGTAGCCAGGCCGCGGAGTCGTAGGGCTCAACAAGGCGCGTCCAGCGCCCAAGCGAAAGCCTGATCTAACAGGCTCCGCTTACCATCAAAATGCCACAGGCAGCGCGGTGGCACAACAGCTGTTTTCCTGTACCCTAAAGGGCGCCCTGGTGAGCCGCAGCGTCAGTCCAGTATCACTTCTATACACATGCCGACCTAATGCTTCTGCACAAGAGGATGCGTTTTCACACAAACTTTCATGAAGGAGTTTTGCAGCCCGCAATGTCTCCCTGAGCCACCTCGCCAAACCAGTTTGAAAACGTTACATTGGTCAAGTATTCAAGCTCTTGCGAGCATTTCTGATGGGAGCTTGCCGGGTGGTAGCAGGAGACCGTGATGCCTGTATCACACCAAGGAAAACAGAAGTGTGCAGCATCTATACTTAATCATTTCCATTTACTTGCTTGAACTTGCGGTCGACATGAAAGCCATACAGTAAAAGTGGGTGGATGAGCCACTTGGTGCGTCCTAAATTTGACTGGCTCAAAGGAATACTACAAACATTCCCGATATTCGTGAGAGAAAAGCCTGTGACGTCGCAGCGTCGAGCCAGGCAGCCAGGGTGCTAGGTCACCTAATGATGCCGTTCACTGTTTCTGCACAAGTATGTTAGTCAGAACTCTGGGCATGCAGCGCTTTGCGGACCCGGTTCCTGAGCCGGATGACGTCTTCGCGCCAGAGGAACTTGCTCGCACGAGAAACATTCCGGCGCAAAGGAACGAATGCTGATACTACGCCACGAACAACTCCTGGATTTCGCAGAAGCAAACTTCCTGCTGAAACCGACATCATCCTTCCTTTATGATTTCAGGCAAGTTCTTGACGAGACTCTAAAGCACAGTAGACCCTTGCAGCACATGTCGGATTTGTGCTGCCAATGATAGGTGCATATGTCACTTCATGATGGGACTTCAGCCTGCCCGAAACGATCAATGTTCGTCACGCCGGCTTCTAGATTTCTCAATCACTTCGGAAGGGGGCAGGGGAAACTGCCACGTTCTCGGCAGAGTAATTATTCATGTCTTGGGGGGAGTCGCTGGAAAGTTCCGTCGAGTTTGAATGGTAACTTCCGGCACTGCAGCAGGGTCCACATTTTGTCGCTGTCTTCCTGCACCTGTGTCCGTTCTGCGTACTTTGTAGCGGTTTGCTCGCAGTCGTTGTTGAAGACTGCCGTGCGCCGCGCTGCTTACATTCGTTGTCCAGGTATGGGCATTGAACAGCTTGTCATGTCTAGCTTTTATTGAGCGCAACCACAACCGGTCTCAAAACATCTTAGAACAAGTGTCGGACACAGTAGAGGTCCTTGAATGCTGCCCCATCACCACAGAACTTTGGAATGTAACCTTGCAGAAGGCAGTAACGGCTCAATCTCGACCGGCATACTGAACAAGCGACGGACAGCAGTGTGTTGATTCCTCCGGCCCACGGCACGAGTTCACTAGTGGAATCTCTGCACGCGGACATCTCGTACCAACTGCGAAACTTGGGTCAGCGGCCTACCCTTGTGTTGGACCGAAGACTTTCCAACTGACCCTTCCGGCCTTCTGTTGTTCCGTCCTTGTTCGTGATATTCGTGCGACCACAAACAAAAGGGCCTGTGGCCTGCAGCATGCGAAGTACAGACATTCACTCATGATCAAGTTTCTGTCAGTTCCGCGATGCTGCCACTGACCGGAAGCTCACAAAACGAGTAAAGAGCCAGTCCCAAAAAAATCAAGTGGCAGGCCTGCCCCTTGTCATAGGCCAAACGCACTCCGAAGTGCATTCCAAGCCGAAGAAGCGGTGCAGTTGCACGCATCTGCACCTGGCAAGCGCTCTTGCTCTCATTCTCTTGGGTCATAGCTTTGTTCGTAGGTGTGAGCCCCAGTCCCACCAAGCACTCCGAACCAAAGCAGTGGAATTCCGCGGTTACGCACAAACACACTTGTGCCTTGTAGCGCAGAATGCGCGAGATTTGGAACTTGCGAGGTGCTTGAATGACGACCTCATGGTGGAGATACCACAGGACGCCTGGCAGGCCTGGGCAGCTGGGATAATGTTGAGCTGAAGACGGACATCAATTTAACCAGACCCCCGCGATGATAAGGGCAAAGTGAAACCCGAAATGCCTAAAGTGCCACCCAGACACTGGCGACATTGGTGTTCAACGGCGGGTACACTTCATCTGACCTCGGTACACAAAAATTTCTGAACAACTGCACTGAGCTCCTTTACAGCGCATGCCGCGTCTCGTTCGGAAACCGTCAATCAAGCAACCTTCACCAACCAGTTATGCAGCTAAGATCTGCGCACTGCCCGGTACATGTAGAAAGTGAACCTTGGGTATCCGGGGCAATGTAGTAAGCAAGTGTAAAATTTGTTTCCTGTAGTGATCAAGAAAATAGGGCGGTAACTCGTGGGAAGGGTGGGGTCTTTTTCTTACCTCTAAAATCCTCTGAACATCATTGCGATGTCTGCCACTTTCCAAGAGCCGGGGAGACAGCCTCGGAAAAAGGTTGAGGTGCGCCAGGAGGGCTTTGTGTACTTCTCCGGGCCGAGGCGGAGGCATCCGCATGCTTCACTTCGCTAGCATTGATGCAGAAACGAAAATTGTATATACCCAAGTTTTTCTGAAAAGAGTGGTTTTTAATGCGCTATCAACAAGTTGACCGCAAGTTTTATCAATTTTAAGAACGCTTTTTGTTATCCATCTATGCACTTGCCACTGACGTTGGCTAGCCTTAAGCTCTCCAAAACAACCACCAAATTTAGTTGATTCTTCTTTGGCACTTTTCTCGGGTCCATGAGCGCCCTTTGGATTCGCCCGAATGCCGACTGCATGCCGCTGCACCCCTGCGCCGGATGTGGACACGTGGGGCAAAAATGGATGAAACAAAACTTACAACAGCACAACAGGCATGGCCTAAATAAAGGATACGAGTTCCTTGAAAACCCATGCATGGCCTTCACAATGGCTCTGGACTCTCATGGGACCGCTCGTAGTGCAGATCTCACACATTGTCTTCAAATCAACTGAGCACCGCATCACTCTTTCAGTTCTTTGAGGCGTCAATTGGCCATCGGCCCTCGGGACTCACAGAAACTACTTGCCTGAAGCACAACCCCGTGATGATTCGGCAGCGAGTCTACGGAAGCTCGTCTCAATGTCAAGAAGCAGAGGCGAGGAACTGGGAGAATTCAGAGATCCATCCTTCCTTTGTCAGGGACCACTATTGTGCAAGACTGTTTCGCAGCTTTTGTGGCTGGAAGGCTGCTGAATCAACACATGTGTGATGCCCTTCATCCCACCCTATTGCCCACACTATTGCACGAAGTTGACACTGAAACAATAAAAGCCTGAAGGTCCGGCTTGGCTGCTGTGCCACGACAAGAGAAGGCAAAAGGGCAGGTCCAACTACGGAGGCATGACGCCCGAAGCCTCGGAACCAAACTCTCGGTAGCCGCTCCTCTCCAAAACCACACGCAGGGACTGCGAAAATTGTACAATCCTGCCGTGCTGTCACCAAGGGTCCATGTCCAGGGCAGGGCTGTCACATTCACGGAATAAACCTGAGCATGGTTCGCGGCCACATAGCGACTCTGCAAGTCCATGCAACATGACTGCGAGCTTCAACTTACGAGCTCATCGTATGCCACCCTGCTACCTTTGTATGCATGTGTACGCAGGCCATCTTACATGTCACTTCGGGAAGAATCAGCGTACAGGCTTGCGGCGTTCGCTGGAGCCGGTGGTGTCGCTTCCGCTGGTGCAGCTGGCGCGACAAGCTTGGACAGAAAGGCAGCTCGATCGAAAGGGTCGGAAAGGCTCACGCTTAGTTGAAAGGAAACACCTTGGCTGGTAACGTAACCTGTGGGTGAGCATCACACCGCTACGGGAGAATGCCGTGCCTGCAACGGGGATGGGCTGCCCACTCGTGTCTGGCAGAGCTGGCGTCGCCCTTAGAAAAGTACACACGGGGATTTCGGAATTTCGCAAGTGACGAATGGTCATTACCCAACTTCAGAGCGAACATTCACCCTTCAGCATGACTGATAGCTTCCCTGATAGTTTCCGCATGTTGCTTTGCCAGATCCAGCGAAGATGCGATGCCGGTGGCGGTGAGGGAGCCGGATCTTGAATAGCAGGTGCCGGCGGAGAGACCTAGAATAAGGACGAATTCTCTGCGGGTGCGTGCCTCCATGCACCTGCACGGTTATGGAAAATGTACTACTACTACTACTACTACTGCTACTACTACTACTACTACTACTACTGCCTGATGGTTTAGATTCGATGTAGTTCTTGTATTCTCACCACACAGAGCTTGTTGGTAGTGGTGGATTGTCGACTTTGTTGTGTTCACGACGTAGTTGCAGCACTGCCAACTCTCCCTGAGAACACACGTTCGCGCACACTTGTTTTGGCGCCAGCTTCGGACAATCTCTGGTCTGTGCAAAAGGGATGGCTCGAATGCTCTAAGACCGTGAGTGACTATTGCTTTTAGCAGAATGTCGAGCTTGGATGCTCGTTCTTGACCATGAAGTTGGCGGTGCAGTCAGTCAAAAACAACTTCACTGCCGCATTCTGCAACGCAGATAAGCTGTGTTATTGCAATCGGAACCTGTCCGAAGATCGGCCCAGTTACGTTGCTTCCCATAGCTGTAATTACCAATCATTACGTGACACCAACGAATTGTACGAGGCATCGGGCAACCCCCCATGAGACGTTCGGTCATACTCACATAGGAAGACTCACATAGGAAGAGAGTGCCTTACCCGCTTCAACTTCGCAATGCTGTGGATTCGAGCCGAAGCCTGTGTCACAAAGTGCATTGATGTAGTCGATGGGCATGCGGAAGGAAGCAACCTCAGTGGTAGTCACGACGCCATCGTCCATTGCAATTACGCTCACGTTCGCGATCACCTGGATCGGGTTGTTCCTTGCCTTTGCCTGTGGAATCAACCCATTGATTTGCATTTGGCCCTCCTGGATGTCGTGGGAGAGGTTCCCTCTAGCGCTGCCGGAAGCAGCTTCTGCCGCAAGTCGATCTCGAATTCCTCGTGCACCTGGTGCAATGCAAGCGGAGACATCAATGTGGTCTCGTAGTGTATTGTGATGCACCGGCCTGTTAGTTGAGGTCACTGCCTTCCTGAGCTTGTCGATGAATTCGGGGGCAACTGAACGTCGTTGTTGACGATGATCTCGACAGTACGATCAGTGGTCGTGTTAACGCCGTCATTGTTCGAAGACCGTGCTTGTGGTATAATCATGTTTCATGTTTCAGGGCGTAAGCTCAACACAAGCATCACATTGACGTGCACTCAGCATTCCACGCTCTCTCTTTTCACACAGTGGGGTACTGTAATCGGTACCGAACACGGCAGATCGATAACTTCATCTGTCTCCTGTGAGACACAAGACTCTTTTGCACCCCCTGTGGGGACTAAGCCTGTTCTCAAGCCGTGTCCGGCTCACCAGTAAAACCTTAGAACACGGCCTGCAAGCAAGGCACTTACAAGACCAAAGCAGAGCAGACGTCGTCTTAAGCCGCACTCGGCGGAATATCCTGAGAGGTTCCTCCAAGAAGGCACTCTTTCCAAGCAGAATCCGAAGACAGGTATCCTCCACATGCCGCACCTGCAAACTGCATTGATGCAATAAAGACATCGTTCCTCTACATGAGCTATATCGTAGTGCGTTGTGTGCGTCGCATCTGGCCCACGATTACGAAGCGGCATGAGATTCCGTGTGAAAAGATGTTGGAGCGAGTAAGTCAAGGGAATCGACATGATGTTCTCGGATCATGGCCAGGGTTGTCTGAGATAGATGAGCAGCAAACCAAGTTGCCCAGACAAGTCGAGGACGACGAGATCCTTCAACATGTTGCTATGGCAAAGCTGGACGACCCTGAAGGAAAGTGGCAGCTGCGTCGGTTCTGTGCAGCCCAGATGTTTGCGACTCTCATCCGAGGAGCTCAGCAAATTGGGTACGTTTGCGAACAGCTCAATCCCAAGACATACTGCGACGACAAGAAGATGGGAGCGCAGGAGATGTATGTCAGTCTTCATCTGTGTTACAAGACGCCATCGCAAAGACAACTGGACAAGCACGATTCTCAGTACTCAAGTCACCGGTGCCTGGACACGTCCCATATTTGCAAATCGATCCTGCGGGTGTTTTGCAGATTGAGTTTCGTTCTTTGAGTACTTGGAAAAGATGGAGCTTCATTTTTTGAAGAAAAACCGCTTGAAAAATGATCTCTGCGAACAGAAGCATTTTGCAACAGTTGTTTTAGCGCTTGCTTTAATCTCCCATGTCCATTAGCTGGTTGATCTATCTTGCTGCAATAGATAACGGTCGTCGTTTGCAACGCGTTGGAATTTTCCGTCCGACTTGAGGATGCTGAAGAAACTTGTGCACCGAGCGACGCAAGCAGGCATCATCATATTCAAGCAGCAAGGGTGCAGTCTGGTCCTGACCGTTGAGCTTCCCTGGTCATTTTCCTGCAGCGGCGTGTTCTTGATGGCGAAATGGACACCTTCCTCGATAATCCTCAATCGATGTGGATCATCTGGTGGGCGATCAACGATTCTTGCAAGCTCGTTGATGCTCCTTTCCTTCTCTCGATCTCTTGGTCCGTTCGGAAGTTCGCAAAAGATGCTCATCACCTGAAACCACCTGTTCTGGAGATCGACGATCGGCGAACCTTGATGCAATCGGGGATTCCTCGTAGTTCAAGCAAACCTCGTCCTCGATGCCTTGGTCCATGATCTTCTCGTAGAACTTGAACTTGTAGTAGAAATCGTCCGGAACTCAAAACCACATCTCCTTGACGCACTTGAACGGAACTGGCTTGCTGATTAATATCAATCCGCTCTCTGAAACTCTTCCGCCCAGAGAAGTCAGGTCTTGCGTGGGAACATGAAGAACCACCAGAGGTGCGGACGTCTCCCCAGGAACACGACCTTTCGTAGCAAGATTCCTTTTGTAAACGGTGGGAAAATTCCGAAGTGACTGTGAAGTCTCCCGGAACTATCATCATCCTCGACTTCCAAACCTGGGAGATTTCCTTTCTCCACAATGGACTGTAAGTTGTAGTACGCAGTGCTGCGGTAAGACCCCTTGAGTTGCTGGACGATAGAGTTGCTCTGGTTGATGGCGAACTTGACCGGGTCAGGCTGAACGTGAGCATAGGTAAGGTGGAATTGCGTGGCATTGAATGACCACTTGCCGCTCGAACCGCCCATGCCCTGATCCATCCATCGGTCAGATTTACATCATCACGTGTGATGAGGCTGCGGCCACGCCGATCAGTCACCTGCTTGAGCTCCTCTCTTTGACACGCCTCGTCACCATCATGTCCGTGAGCTCCTCGCAAACGGCGCTCGAGGGATTCGGTGGATCATCGTACTTGGTTTCCAGAAACTGTAATCTCACCTTCTTGTCCGCACCGATGCGATTCCTTTCCCCAATACATTTGTAGCCCACGTTGCCGTATCCACGCCGTGATCTTCTTGTATCCACCCCTTGGAACTTTGGAGCATCTCGTCTTTGAGGCAAGGACATGTCCCTGGGGTCGAGCATCTGTTGAATGATATTCATAGCCGCTTGATGGCTCCTGGGACCCAATTGTGATATAACTTCGCCGCAGGCATAGTCACGACCTCTGTGACGTTCCGCAACGGCAACTGTGGCTGTTGTCACATCTGATGATGATCACCCCTTCACCAGCATCGCAAATGTAACTTGTAGATCTTGACATGGCCTTGGGCCTTGGTCTCCGGGTAGAGGACGTCGAGCTTCCAACTTCATCCACATCCATGGCTTCGGCTGGTCTCTGTGATTGGCCACCCGGTTGTGATGATTGCCGTGGAATCACCCTTGGGTATGACTCAATTCCTCGCAGAAGTCGGGTGAGGAACCTCGGTCCGTGTGGCACAAACTTGGAGTCGAAGGAGCAGTTTGAATAGCTCCGCTGATCACTTCCGCAAAGCACACAAACAATAGCAGAACGACCGTCCACTTCGAAGCTTCCATTCATCAACTGGTCAACTGCACCAGACGCCTGCGCTCGTACGGCTTCCTCCTCCACCGTGGTAACCGCTTCCAAATTGGACCGCGGCATTTTAGGCCCATTTTAGGCGCTGGAATGACGACGTGGGGTAGAAATCAAGTGAGAGATGTAGTGGTCAGCTTCCGAGTTACTATTCTTTGGCGGTGAACGCTTCCTTGCGCCACCCCCAACTGCATGGAGCTCAACAGCTTCGGCTCTGCAGTACCTGTGAAAAGAACTCTCGATTCCACGTACGCATGTGAAGTCATCCTGGCCCCCCAGGGGGAATCTATCTGGACATCTCATCGCAAGAGTGAGCATACCGAGGGATAGCTCGAAAACCAAGCTCTTCTTTGGGATGCTCTTGGGTGAAGACATGCCTTCGAAGATCGGGAGACAATACCCGTTTCATGTACCAAGCATAAGCCGAGTTTCCAGCATCGAAATACCCGATGAAGCAGAGATTGTTGTCCTCGTCGTCGTAACCTCTGTCCCAGGAAAGTTGCTTGGCTTTGCTCCAGTTGGCATACGCTATGGCACCGTAAAAAGACCCTGTCTTGCCACATTCTTGGTAAACAAGCAGTGCGCATTGCTCCATGTATCCCACGAGGTCAGCAGATAGATCGCAAAGGCGAATTGCATGCTTCTCCACGTCGACTAGCTGTTCGTAGTTATTGATGTGCCAAGCGGCATTTCGAAGAGCATCTTTGTAAGCACACCCCATACAGTCTTTTGGGAACCTTGCACCGTCAAAAGCCATGTCATCCGTGCAAAACACTTCACGTTGCTTTTGGTGTTGGCAACGATGGCAGAAGTAGGTCTTGTCCTCCACGCCCACGAAGCTGTTATGCTCCGCTGATGCGTACTCATCGATCTTGAACCAGAAGAAGTCCTATTCGTAGAACGGTTCCGGGTTCAACAGGGGGATGTCGAAATTCTGCCATTCTCCCGAACAGCGCTCGGCAAAGCCGCTGTGCTGCCCCGCATTTTGGTTTTCTTGTTGTCGAGCAGAAGACACCCACATCTTGGAATCGACGTTGGACGAGAACACAATAGCAGTTGTATCCTCCCAGATCTCCTTCTTCATCTACTACTACTACTACTACTGCTACTGCTACTGCTACTGCTACTGCTACTATTATTATTACTACTACTGCTACTGCTACTGCTACTACTACTACTACTACTACTACTACTACTTCTACTACTACCACTACTACGACGACGACTTCTACTGTTGTACTACCACGACCAGTACTGCTGGCGCTGCTGCTGCTGCTTGATTGGTGCGTCTCGCGTAGGGTCCCAAGTTCCAAAACAAGGAGATGTTGGGTGGCCAACCTCAAACCTGAAAAGAATGGTGCGGGAAAATCGAAGAAGACATTTGTTGGCTAAGCCTAAGCCTCAAACCGAGATGCTGAACGGTAAACCCTAGACCCTAAAAGAAGCTCGCCGGTTGCAAAACCCTCAGAAGATATAGTTGGCAAGCCGAAACGAAGATGTTAACCCATAAGAAACATCACGTAGCAAACCCCAAACCCGAAAGAGAAGAAGGTATTGGTTAGCAAGCCCAAATCCCATGTGGGTGGCAAGCCCCACCCTAAAACCGAATCGTGAGCCTGTACAAGAGGTAAGTCCCAAACCCTGGAGGCAAGCCCTAATTAACTTTAACTTTCTGAATCGGTCCCCAACATTTTCCGAAGCCGTTTTCTGAATCGGTGGCCCGCAGTGCTGAATCAGCCTGCTTGGTTTCCTGTGCTTTTTGCTGAAACGCACCGTTTTCAGAAACCCTCTCTCACCATGGCTGCCACGATCTATTCTGCCGAAATCGAGACCAGGCAAGCTGCACAGACTGCCTGGTAGTCCGAGCCTGGCAGGTGCCAACAAGTCCAAAAGATTTCTCACACTGGCACCGATGGGGCTTCATTGCCTTCCTGCTTGCACTTCGGAAAAGTCGAACTGGGGTGCGCGCAGCAGTTCTGGTAGTCTTTGCAAAGGCCTCAACTCCACTGCATGCTAGCTCACTGGCTCTTGTTTCCAGCTTGGGGATGACCAAGAGTTGTTCTGCATGTGAAAGACCTGATGTCAGCCAAGGAGCTGTTGCACTGGCAAGGTCGCGAACTGGCAGCACCGCTTTCGGAGCTTTGAGTTGGACTACGGTATCATGACATGCTGACTTGAGTGGTGCTTTGCAGCGATCACTGCCTCACGTAGGTCTCGGCACAGGTGAACTCACCACAGCCTCAGAAACAAAACCTGGCTCACTGACTAATTTCCTCACAAGCATTTGCCCCGACAGATCTGCAAGCATGCGCCTTCCTAAACCGCGTCAACCCGAACAATGCCCCTCGAAACGTCAACGTCTGAACGATGAAAGCGATCAAACAGTGCTTCCAAGTTGCTACCCCACTTGGCCGTCCTGTGCAGTACGACTGCAAACTGTTTGTCGTGGACACCGGCATTGCAGAAATTGACTGCCGGGATTGACCAGATCATGGCGCAGCCAATAGCTGTACACTGCAAATTCGAAATGATTGAAGTGTTAAGGTGGCGGCGACGCTCCGCGGAAAGATCTGGTCTTGACGATCTGTGACGCCTGAAAATTTGCCGAAATTGCGTGATTTGCTTGTAGATGCTTGTAGTGATACTTGCTGTAGGGTACACAACTGGGCTGCATCTGAATGCTGAGTCACCACCGACACAGGCAAAGTTCCACCGACTTCGTTTGTTTTGCGACGCTCTCCTTTTTGGTTGCATTTGGCTGAGTGCTAAGTTTGGCGCGAGCATTCGCAGGAATCACAGCCTATTTTGACAAGCAACTGCCACGAAGACTGGAAGTCTGACGACATCCGCAATTCGATGCCAGGTTGATGTCAAATGGAAACTAAGGGCTCCACGTCAACCCGACATAAACGACTCAGACTCCAAGCCATGCAAGCCATGCCACATCATCACAGGCAGATGGCAGCACAAAGGCCGCCAGGCCCAGGCACCTTCGCTGAGGCGATGCTTTTCCATGACTCAACGGTGAGACCAAACGGATCCAGTCATGTGTCGACTTCAATAGTCAAGCTGCAAACCAAGCGCGACCTGCTGCATGAGGCTCGCTTGTCACCTGCATCGCATGCAACAGTTGCAAAAGTGCTTCGAAGACGACTCTAAGTGCTTGAAATGGAAGCTGCCTCAGCACTGGGCCCGCTGAGAACTCATGCAACGCCGGGCGGACCAGAACGTCGCGCAAGAACAGCTCTCCACAATTCCGAAAGACCAACGTTGACACCAGCCACAAAAAACTCTCTTGGATCGGACATCGTCGAGGCCTGTGGGCCAGCACGAATCACCGAGCTCAACGATAGAACAGGTAACCGCCTCGAGCTGCCTCCCAGACACAAAGCAGTGGCGAAGTTGATTGAAACCTTTGCGCACCGCTTGGTGTCGCCTCTCTGCAGTGTACATATCTGACCAAAGAAGGAAAGTGAAGCCCATGACTATGACCAGGGGAGCAACAGGGCTGCCCAGTACTGCCCGGTAGTGTTTCACATACTCCTATTTTCAGCGGATGAGCAGATTCATCGATGCTTTGCCGCAGTCAAGCAAGCCTAAAACATCTGTGACTGAATGATGCTGAACTCCGCAACAAAAACACAACATAATGCAACTACACAACACCAAACCTGCAGCCACGAGCAAGCACAACACCATTAGTGCCGAAAAATTCGGCCCCTGCCTTCGGAGTCAGCTGGAAGCATCAATGAGCCAGATGGCCACGTGAAACACTAGCAGTGACTAGCACATGTTGTGATGCTGCAGGTTCGATTCCGCTCGAATGCAATGACTCCAGTCAATATAGTTCCGTAGGGTGTAGAAGCCCCGGGGCCTACCCCTAGCCTAGCCCTAGACCTACCAAGGTCTACCCTACAGTCGCCTAGACCCTAGGCAAGCTCCTAGCCCAGGTCGACCCGAGCCTAGAGTAGACCAACTAAGCCTCATCCCAGAACAACGGAAAAAGCAATCGCAAGACGCAGTGCACTTTTCATGGAACCCACATGCCACCATGTTTCCATTCTGCCACAATGCCGGGGAGTATGAAGCCAAAGGGCATATTGACGTGCAGTGTCTCTTCAAATTCACCCATCGATTTGCAGGCGAGACAACCGTTTGTGCACCGATGGACTAACCGGGCTACTGTCGCCTTGACCTGAGAAAAGTGTGTGAACACTGCCACAGCTCCTTCAGCGCTTCTGCACAACTGACACAGGTATCCTGAGCAGCTTGCAGCACACAAGAGCTGTGATACTGTTTCATTGGTGCTACTGCCAACGCTTCCGAGCGCCAGTCCGGTGCGCAACCATTCCATTTCGAGCTCAGGGACGTGAATCCTAAGAGTCAACTGCAAGACCTCAATGCCACAGCTACCGCCCACACCGCACAACTAAGTGGACAAGTCTCGTTAGGCGCACACAACAACGCGAAAGCATTCGCTCCTACCTAACACAACATGCAACTGGCACAGCGGACTCTCTTTTTCCTCGTCCCACTGGCTGAGGTGCATGGAACGTCTGCCCGGGGCGGAGTCCTCTGGACCCCCCCTCCGAACAGCGCGATTTCGCCGGGTGGGAGAGGTGGGTGCTTTCGCAAACCCTCTCTACAACTCACCCCACAGGGCATACACTGCGACTGTTCAACGCTGCGGGGTATGTACCCAACGTGCGCTTCCACTCGACTTGTCCTAACATGCACACGTGCATTACACGACAAGTCTCGTTAGGCGCACACAAC